CATGTATGGCGATCCTTGTTGATTTGCTTGCTGACCGATGAGATCTTGTCGTTTGGGCGCTTGGGCTAAATTCGGGCGTACAGCATGTCGTGCATGCACGGACGTGCGAATTTTGCCTTGGTTAAATATCTTGCATGACCCCGTATATTCTTCTTGTTTGATCGTGATGGAACGATGCTCTGGCCGGACCTTCATGGTGCTGTAGAGTAGACTAGACAAATGCTTGACTGGGATTATTTTTTAGGCAGCCGTGCCCAATGGTAATCACCAATCATTGTGCACGTATCGAACTGGAGCAGGACTCCTATGCATGTCTGATCGGGTCGGAGTAGGATTCCTGTATTACCGTGCGGATGCAGCTCGGCGTGTTTGTCGAAGCCAAGTTGGACCGATCGGAGGAGGATGAGAGTCACGCCATCGTGTAGTTTGTTGTCCCGTGATTGGATCTGGAGAACTGAGATGTCGCCCGTCGCCGTTGTAGATGGAGCGCTCGAGCCGAGGGATATCGAGCCTGTCAGGCTGTCGAAGCACGCCGCCGCAGGAAGTCAGGTTGCCACGAGCGGTGTCGATCTCGAGATCCCATCTGGTTCGCCATAGATCAGCGCGCACGATCCCCTACATGGCGCGTCAACTGTTGACAAAAGATGCTCGGCAGTCCACCGAGGGGTATCCTGCGATGGTAGATTTGTCGGTGGGGGTGCGCATAATCAGGAACCGAATGGTGACACAAGGCGCAAAGACAGCGATTTAGACAGGTTCGGGCCGTCTGATCGACGTAATACCCTACGTCCTGTATCTTTGATGTATTGTATTGATCTGGATCGTATCCAATAGGGGACCCCTGCCTCTCCTTATGTACTCTGGAGGGGTAGGGTTACAAGGAAAGTAGCCTATTTGGTACTATACAATATCTTACGGTGCACGCCGAGCAGCGCCGTGCACGCCTTGATCTTGTGGGCCGGGCCACCTCTGATGGTGCGGCCCATATCTTGTCTTGTGGATACTGGGGGCCGTACCCCCACAAATATAGATCCATTCGTTTTCTTGCAACGGGAACACCTCTGTGCCTTGAATTTGCAAAAGATGTTGTTCTTTCCCCCAAATCTGCTTCTTGTTTATGATGGTACACGTGATTCTCCCCATTAATCTCCATCCCCATCTCCATATTAGTTTAGCGTATCCGTACATCTGTGAATGGATAGCGCTTCTGTAAATACATGCTTTGCTCCATTTCTTCCTCCCTGAGATTGCTTGGTCTTCGTACGGTATTCATTTTGATTATGCCTCTGATCCCTTGAATTCATTTTCTGTGTGTACGCATTTATTTTGATTATACATAGGGTCGTTGTTCTGGCAAAAAAAGTCCATGCCTGAATGCATTGTACTGCTCTTATAATCTTTTCAGTATATATAGGTGTGTGTCTATGGTGCTGCTTTATTTATTTTATTAGGTCTGAGCGGCACCATCACCCACATGTCGAGGATGGGATGGCGCTGTACGTGCCGCCGCCGATGCTGAGCGGGTGATGGCGGGGGTGTTGAAGACGAAGCTGACATGTGGGGCCCACACGTCAGCGATTGGAGGAGAGAGAAGCAGCAGGGGTATATAGGTCATTTCGCATGCTTTGTAGGCCTGGCGTGCCACCTCAGCAAAAATGGCAAAAACGTAAGAGGGTTACTATTTACGTTGACAAATATGTAAGGACGCATATAAAGATGGCAAACGGAGGAATGCCATCGGTAAGGGGCCCTAACTCGCGTTTGGTCAAGATGCTATGGAAGTACAGCTTACAAGAACAATGTTGACGCTGCTCTCTATGCTGATTGAAGGGCGGCGGATTGGATTTATGGGATAGAAATAGTGCTGGGGAGAGGCCGAGAGGTATCAGCTGGTGGTGCCGGAAATTTTAAAAATACGGCATCGACGATGCTGGCAGAGGCAACAACATCCAGGGTGCACATGATAGCATGGGAAGAAGTACGACGGTTGACACGTCTCGCTGACTATTACTGCTCCCTTTCATCCACAAAAGAATATAATTTTCACGTTTTAAAAAGTCAAATAGTTTAAACTTTAATTAAAAATATATAAAAAAGTACTAACACCTGTGAGACAAAATTAATACATTAGATTAGTTATAAAATATATCTTCGTAATAAATTTATTTGAAGACATAAATGTTAATATTATTTACTATAAATTTAATTAAATTTGAGCTAGTTTAACCAACACGGTTCCCATAATTTCATTGTTTTATAGACGGAGGGAGTATCTCCGTTCTTATAAATATATTATATGTTGATTTTTTTCTCCAATGGCCGAAAATATTTTATTAATTAGTAGATTTTTCTATAGAACAGACGAATAGATAAACGAAGAAAAAAAGACAATGATATCATATATATCTAAGAACATCCATGAGCATTCATACTTCACCGAATCAAGCTGCACTGTACTCCTGCCGTTGCCACGCCGTGGTGGCAACGGGGACGCGATCTTGGTAAGTTCGATTGTAGAATGCTCGACCGATCTAGGTCTTCTAATTAGACTTAGATTCGAGTCCGAAAACCGCGTGGCAACGGGGACGCGATCTTGGTAAGTTCGATTGTAGAATGCTCGACCGATCTAGGTCTTCTAGTTAGACTTAGATTCGAATCCTAACAACTGCTACACTGCTGCTCCAATGATTATCAACCGCGCATGATATAATTGATCTTATTTAGAAACGATGTCTATGAGCAAAACTGAGGGGGAAGAAACTAGAGATTGTCGCATTGAGAGAGCCCGCATGGTTTCCATCTCTTCTCTGCAGATCCCATGCGCCGACCCATCTCTTCTCTGTAGATCCCATGCACCATCGGTCGGTGAGAGCTCGCGTGGCCGCCGGTCAGAGCTCGCACGTGCGGCCGCCGGCGCGGAGCTCGTACGTCCCCGCGCTGCTGGGCCGTGAATGCCTACGGCAGCGGCGGTGTCGACCGCAGCCCGGTGGCCTGGTCGAGCAAGTAACCCTGCTGGAGCTCTCAGATCCGGTAGCAAGTAATTCCTGTAGCAAAAGAGGAAACTAGTGATATATCGAAAAACAAAATCATACAATTAAGATGTCTTGACGGACGAATGCTTCCCTCTGCTCCCTCCCGCACGTGCCGCTCAACAAATGACCTTATCTGCTCGTCCCATTTTGCGCGCCCCGATGCTTGCTGCGTCGTTTCCTCCCTGCGGCGTCTTGCCCATCCGCCCACCCTACTCCACCTCGCCGCCGTCGGTCCACATAGCGCCGCGCCCCGCCGCGTCGTGCCCCATCTTCTGCGGCCTCCTCCGCGCTGCCTCCCCGCACTTCCTCCTCCACGCCGCATTCCCCACCGGGCCCAGCTGCCTCCCCCCGCTTCCACCGCGCTGCCTCCTCGTCGTGTCCGGCCTGCTCGCCGCGACCGCCTCCATCGAGCTGGCGAGCCGTGGCCAACTTCACCGAGCCGGCGAGCCTTCATGACGGATGCTCTAGCAAGCAGGCGAGGGGGACGAGATTCGTGTGATGCCACGCCCGCCGACGAGTTTCCCGTGCCGCTGCCACACAGCTGAGGTCCATGCGCCGCTGTCGATCTCCGCGCCAGCGTGCCTCCATTCGTCCATGCAAAGCCCATGTTGTAAGAGTATGTTTCAAGTGTTTTAGATGTTTCATCTGGATGCTGCAAGTGTTTCATCTTGATGTTGCTAAAGTAGATCGGAATGTCGCACATGTTGCAGTGGGTATACACGTATGTTTCAAGTTTATGTTCCAAATGTTTCATCTCATTTTTCCATACATGTGTTTGCAAGTGTTTCATCTAGATGTTGCATGTGTTTTCAAACATATGAACTATTTTCATTGTTTTTTGCAAGTGTTTCATACACATGTTTCGAATGTTTCAGCTGTTTCGTACGTATGTTGCAAGTGTTTCATTTGGATCTTTTCAAAAGTAGATCTGGTGTTACAGCTAGTGTTTCAGATGCATGTTTCATGTGTTTCATCTGCCTTCAGTCGTATGTTGCTAGTGTTGTATCCGGATGTTTTAAAAGTAGATTGGGTATTGCATCTCTGTCCTTGCTTTTCTACTGCCTCACCTTTGCCTCAGTGTCTCCTCCACCCCCTCCCGACGTCGGCTGGGCATTCGTCGCCCCTTCCCCTCTTCTGGATGCTAGCGTAACCACCTGCTGTAGTCATCGCCCTGCTGGCCACGTGCATGCACGTGAGAAGCGGAGGGGACGCGAGCGGGGACTCTCCACGTGCAGTTGGGCGGCGCGGGCCCTTTGTAGGCGGGCGCAGGATGCAGGTGCGCGGTGGGAGACGGAGTGCAGGCGCAGGCGTCCGGACACCGGCGTCCGTCCGGACGCTAGGACTGCTAAAAACAAAAAAAAAAACATTCTTTTTTTCTCTCTGCAAGTGCAACAGCAACAAGCAGGAGACATCAGGACAGCTCCAACAATCGACTTTTAAGATAGCTCTAAGTATTTTTTTTTCATATTTTAATAGAAGAAAGAGCAAAACTAGCTTTTTATTAAGAGCTAAGCTCTTGCACATATTTTAAGGTTACATGAAAGTGTTATATGGGGCTATCTATATTAAAAATTATGTGCTAAAAGTTAGCATTATTGAGAAGTTATCTTGAAGCCGGTAACTTAACCATTGCGGGTGCCCCCATTAGTGGGCTAGGCAAAGCCATGTCGCAGGAGCATAGGATTCGAGGGAAGGAGGTAGGAATAATTGGAAAGACCCAACGAAAAAAAAAGTTACTCTGTGGAAGATAGTTTCTTGATACAGAGCCCAAGAACATAGATACCGCTCCTGGTTTTTACATTATGAGTGCTGTAAGTGTAATATATATAATTACAACATGTGAAAAGCATCACGTGACTTCCAAACAGGGCCAAGGATATTTTGCTGATATTTGCCACATTTAATATATTATACACAAAATGGATGGAACGAACGGAGGATGACTAAACTCGATGTGCACAGACGAACCTATATCCAGAATGCCACAGGGTTTTGTACACGGTCAACACGTTGATGCGCCACCTCATACGACAAGGATGCGTAAGCGCGATATCGGGTGGCAGCGACACACAGCTCTCCGTCCTTGTCGTACTTGAGCAAGAAGCGGGTCATCTTCAGCACGCGGGTGCGCGCGTACGCGTCGCAGTCCTGCCTCTCGACCATGCAGAATCTGCTATCGCCCATGTACACGAACGTGGCGCCCAGATGTTGGCGGGTGTCCGTCGTTTCGAACAACACGTCCTGCCCGAGCTTCCAGGCGGGCATGGTGGTCTCCCCGCCGCCACCGCCACCGCCGCCGTCGTGGGGCGGGACGGCCGGGACGTCGCAGCAGCAGACGCGCCCGGCCCCTTGCTTGTAGAGGCAGAGCCCGACCCAGGCGTCCAGCTCGCGGTCGTAGTGCGCCTGGCCTTTGAACGGCAGGAGCCACTCGCCGACGTGGGTCCACTCGTGGCGCTCCATGTCGAAGGTGAAGGTGCTCTGCCGGCAGTCGAGGTAGTGCGAGCAGATCTTGCCGGGGATGTCGGGCCTCCAGTCCTTGACGGACACGAACACGGTGCGCCCGTCCGGGTGCACCGCGTAGCCGCTGACGACGCTGGACACGAACGGCGGCGGCGGCTCGATGCTGGCCCACGACCACGACCCGTCGGTGGGCCGCGGCAGCTCGGGGCCGAGCATCTCGACGAAGGGGTAGACGAACGCCAGGAGCCTGCCGCCGGCGGAGATGTACAGGGGCCGGCTTCCGAAGTCCCCGTGTAGAGAGCTCTGCGGGTGAGGCCACACCGCCATCCCCATCGTCTCGGTGTCGAACACGGGGATGCCGGGGCTGTACTCCGGTGGCTGCATCGCCAAGATCTTGCGCCCGTGCGCGGCGAAGGACCACGAGTGCGGGTGCAGCGCCTCCATGCGGACGACCGGGCGGGCGGCGTCCATGCCGCCGCCGGCGTTTGGGTCCGCGTCGAACCTGTGGACGCTGTAGCCTCTCTCCCAGTCGTCCACCACAACGTACAGACAGGGGCGAAGCTATCATCAATGTTATGGTGGTGCACCACTGAAGCGACAAATGAATTTTTCTCATAGTACATGATGAGTGTTAGTCAATTTACTAACAATTTTTTGGTGCACCCTGGTGCCAGTGCACCACAGTAACCCAACGTGGCTTCGCCCCTGCGTACAGATGCTGCATCGCCGACATGGCAGATTCAGACAGATGGGCAGAGCAGCGACCCAAGCAAGGCCTATTCGAAGGCCGATTCCCTGCTCCTAGCCTCTCAGGTTGCCTCTCAGGTTCGTGGTCGTCGTCGCGCGGCCGCTTGGACATGTTCGATTGCTCACCCGTCGGCCTCGATCACCGCCCTCCTCTCTCTCCTCTTCTTCTGTCACACAGTTGTTTATATAACCGGTTAAAATCCGTCTCGGAATCGAATTATCCTCGATTCAAAAACGAAGGCGAGAAAAAGGAAGCATCCTAACCAACTCTCAAACTCAGGTTAGACTCAGGTCGGACTCCGACGGGACTGTGTATCAGTGGTCGAGCTCAGGGAGTTACCAAACTCAGGTCTCAAGTGACAGAGGAAAAGAGACAGGAGCTCGTGGCGTGGTGACGAAAGGATGGCGCAGATTGCGAACGCCGGCGGGAGAGGGCAACACGCAGGGGATTGGCGGCGCCGCAGCGTCCTGGAGACTGGCGGCAGCGGCGAGTTCTTGCGTCTTGGTGAAGAGCAGTGGGCCTTCACAGGTTTCCATGACCATTTTGGACCCTCTTCGACCCATTTAGATTTGTTTCCTCCTAAACTTTAGTCCATACCACATCAAATATATGATATATATATGAAGTATTAAATATAGATTAAAAAAAACTAATTGAACAGATTGCGATCAATTTGTGAGACGAAATTTTTAAGCCTAATTAGTCCATAATTTGACAATGTGGTGCTATGGTAAACATTTGCTAATGACAAATTAATTAGGCTTAATAAATTCGTCTCGCGGATTACTGAGGATTTATGTAATTTGTTTTATTATTACTATCCGAACTCTCACACGTGACCCTCATGTGATACCCGATGTGACACCCCTAAACTTTAGCCCTTTGATTTAAACATCCGATTGTGGTGCTAAAGCCCACTAGTATAATACCCGTGCTAACGCCACGGTTTATCTTGGGGATACACATGAAAACAACCAATGTTTTTTTTCTTTATAGTTTAACATTTACACAATTGTATTTGAGCATGTATACAATCCGGAAAACACTTTTGCATAGTAAAGTTATTTCTCATATTAACCATCTAAGTTACATTTAAGTCCTTAATCATGACTTGGAGATCTTCAGGGAAGCTGTCAAAACATTCGTTTGCATGGCTCTTCAGAATGTCCGCCAAGAGTTCCATCCTCAATGAAATTGATAGCTGTACATGGTAGATAATAAGTTAAGTTATTAATTTTTTTATGTAGTGTATGAAATATAGTTAGAGAATATATGCTTACAGTATTGATCGGTGGCAATCTTACTCCATCCCATAACTTCATGAAATTATATACAAGGAAGCCTCCTAATCCCCTGGAGAAGAGCATTTGTTTATTTATTGTACGTAAATCAAATAACTATTTTATGATAAGAAAGATAAAACATATTATAAGTGATTATCGGTCTTTATTTTTTAAAACTTTTGTAATACATGTAGAGAATTTTTGCTTCCAATAATAAATATTGACATTCCACTTAGAATTTGTCAGTTTCATAGCGAGATTGAACCTTTTAGCAATAGTGTGAAATGTAGCTATATATGGCATGATTTGATCATAACCCTTGTAACATACATCATCTGGGAGTGGATCCATAATGTGCATAGTTTTCTTTTGCATGTCCATTATGAATAAAGTGTATAGTCCATCTCGATAATATAGCAGTAGAATCTAAAAACATAGACACAGACGGTAAGTGCTAAATAAAATAAAATATAAAATATAAAGGAGTACATTGAACGTGTCTTATATTGTTGCAATCTTTAATTTTGTACTCCATGTTAGGCCAACACTCGAGCACTTTTGCTATATAATAGAGATAAATATATGCTTCATGTAAAGACGTATATAATCACTCAAGAAATCAGAGATGACATATAGATGTCGTTGTGGTACCTTGTGTATGTCGATGAATGTTTCCATCATCATCGTATAAGTCTTCGTTGTGCAATCCATGGCTGGCGTCTATGCCAGCTTCGTCACCGTCTTCTCCATTATGTGTTGGTTCGAATAGTTTAGGGTCAAATTCACCCCCCTTGTTGTCACCACTTACATGGTTGCCACGCAGCTGATGCAAATGAAATTATGCATAGATATATAATATTATATAATATATATAAGCACAATAAAAAATATGATGATGGTTTTATTTTGTTAATAGAGAAAAAATCAAGGATGTGGTTGATGTGCTGACCTGCCTCGCCGGAAGTAGGTAATGGTCGACAAAGATTCGTACGTGGGCCTCTACGCCCTGGCACATAATTATCATTTCTGTGTCTCGTCATTTTCCACTATAGTCGATAATTCAGTTCCAAAATTCGCAACTTGACATATGAACGGAGGTTCATGATATATCAGGCGGTGGATGAAATGCATAGGTTGTAGATATTTCTCACCTGCGGGTGAGGATGCCGGCCCTATTTGAGCCACAACAGCCGCGGTGCTAATATTTTGCAATTCAGCCTTCTTCCGTGCTCGGTATTGACGTTGGTACTCCCGGTGTCTCCTTTTACTCTCTTCCCTTTGCTCGTCGGTCATCTCAGCTCTTCGTTTCCGTTGTTGCGTGTTCCTTTCGTCCATCTTATCGTTAGCTATGTCTACAAGTCTCATTTGTGGGGCCAGGCATATATTATAGTAGAGATTAAAATAAGTCATTTTTACACGATAAACTTGAAGTTACCTAGGTGATCTTTACTGTTGGCCACAGATAGTGCACTGCCTGTTGTGGTCGTGGTGCCAATGCCAACATGGTTATGATTCCCGTGTGCATCTAGTGGGATATTTTCATTGTCCAGTATAATTGATGTGATTTGGTCCATCTTAGAGTAATTAGTACCTGCATATATTTTTGTCAGTTGTATAAAAGTTGGTTTTATATTATATAGAAAAAAAAGAAAGTTACTAATACTTAATTAATTAATTAATAAACTCAAAGTATACATGTGTCTGTGGTTGCTGTGCCAATGCCAACATGTATATCATTCCTATGTGCATCTAGTGGGATATTTTTCTTGTCCAATATAATTGACATGATTTGGTCTATCTCAGAGTAATTAGTACCTGCATATATTTTTTGTTAGTTGTACAAAAGTTGGTTTTATATTATATAGAAGAAAAGAAAGTATCGAAGAGATTAAGTACCTATGGGTGTTGTTGTGGGCATTGTGATGTGCTACTATTTTGGGATGCATCCTTCTTCCGTGCTCGGTAGTCATGCATGTATTCATGTTTTTTCCTGTTCATTTCTTCTCTTTGTTCGCTGGACATCTCAGCTCGACGAATCCATTGCTGCATGTTTCTTTCTTCCCTCTTCCGCGAGGCGTCATCTAAAGTGGGCGGTTGTATATATATTGGAAATCACAAAGACACCCAAAAGTGTTGTATAAATATATACCGAAAGCATACCTACGATGTTGGTGATATCGCTTAGCGCATCGTGTGTATCTCCGGACGTAGACATTGCGAAGTACCCACGAGGATCTTCAGCTGGTAGTAGCGGCGGGCTGCAGGATTTCCTCACGCTAGTGGCCTGAGATAGCACTAGCGTATCTAGTTTTTTTTAATTAAGTATACCAAGATAGTATCATGTAATGATGGATGATGTGCGCCTCGTACGGATAGCCAAAGCTAGTATTCAGCACCATGTAATCTCTAGTACCCGTGAATAATATGCATCTAGTATTTTTTTAATTAAGTATACCAGATGAAGACGATAAAAATAGTTACGGTGCTTTATGTAATCTCTGCTTTTTTTATTTCTGAAGATGCTATTGCAATTTTAGTGACTAATATTCATGGGATATCTGAGCTATTTGCACTTATAATTAAGTACCTGGCCAATGTCGCCGACGGTGACCAGGATCGCGCCGTCGCGGGCGCCCACTGCCGTCCACTTGACGGTGACAAGTATCAGGAACCAATGAGGACCTGATGTTGCTACGGCGGCCCGAACTGAGCGTTAGCTTGCTTGCTGCACCCTTCGCGTGAGCCACACCCACACCCACAGCTGATGCGTGATGCGTGAGTCTCTAGCCCTAGGAGGCTAGGAGAGATTGGGAGACAAAAATAGAAACATGACTAAACAAATAGCCTAAATGAAGATTTTGAGACGTACTGCAGAGGCTCAGTGACTCACGTGTGCTGCTGCAGTGCTTCTCATCGTCCAGCGCCTGCCGCAGTGCCGCCGGCCGCCGCTGCCGCTATGCGTATGTACGAAGCACAACACAGCAGGGATATGAAGGGGCACAGGCCGACCGCAGGGGAAAATATGAAGCTCGCACTCGCACGCGTGAAAGGTCGTGGGCGATCGGCGCAACTTCGTCCTCCCCTCCGCGGCTTCCTCCGCAGCACCGACCGCGAAGGGCGTGGGCGCGGGCGATCGGGACGCCAACAGTAGGCACCATGGCTTCCTCCTCGCCTCCGCGAAGGGCGTGGGCGTGGGCGATCGGGGCGATCGGGACGCTGACAGCAGGCACCATGGCTTCCTCCTCGCCTCCGCGAAGGGCGTGGGCGCGGGCGATTGGAAGGTTTCCGCGGCGGCGGACAGAAAGGTTTCGAACGTCGGTTTTTTTTGTTTCGGTGATGATGATTGGTTTTGATGGAGCGTTGAATGGCGGACACCGCATTGAAGTGCGAGCAGGGTGCGGGGGTGAGAAGGCGGGGCGAGAAGCCTGGCATCCCACGTC